ATGTTAAAGTCAATGACCAGGCTTGGCTTTAGTAAAGAGTGCCAGTTATGATTGCTGTTCTCATTGAGTTACGAGCAAAAGCAAACGATGAAAAAGATGCCATGAAAAGGTGTTACACAGCTTCCTAAGAACATGGCGCGGGCCACGCCTACGGCTACAGTGTAAAAAAACTATAAGTCTATATTAAAAGAGCGAACTATATTACCTGGCTGTCCGTAGGTGCCGTGCGAGGTTTTTATCAACCGGCTTAACCCCGGCGCTTCCCCGTGCAACTTCGCTCTTGAGCCCTGCGTCGAGGTGAGCCGTCATTGCTGTACGTTGTGCAGAAAAACTTTGCAGAAAAAAACTCTGCGAACTCGGCTTGCTCGCAAGTGTAATATAACTAACATAAACGTCCACGCAGCACATAAACGCTACACACGCATGTTAACCGCCCACACATGGCGTGCGCACGCACGAAGGAAACGGCACGTAGATACGCACCGCGGGCCGCTATTGGCCGTTCCCATGGCAGGTTCATTCGCACAAACGCGTGGTGGGCGATTTGCCGCTCAAAGCATAAGCCTACCGAATTCGGGAATTCTGTTGAAATATGCAAAGCGCTAGCCACTTATTCATGCAGCGTAGGCAAAATGCACACAGATGGTTTGAACGTTAACTCACTGAGTGTAATGGCGAATTGTGAATTCTCGATAATAGAAATCGCTCAGATAATGAAGGTATGGGTGGGGACATAACATAAATGCACCGAAACAGAGACCGGCATGTATCAGCGGCGGATCACAGCGCGCGGCGGCGCACAACCAAGGCACATTTAGATATATATTGGAAGCTGAACATGTCAAGAAATGACGGAGGAAAATAGCGATGTTACATGCCTTCCATGAATTGCTGATAGTTTGCGCGGAGAACGGCTTGAGGGCATTGGCGGTTAATGTACAAAGCTACCGAATTGCTCGCGAAAGATGTGTTGAATAGTAAAACCGCAACGCTATTCATTGCACCGTACGAGATGTGAATAGATGATTTGACGACCTCGACAGACCAATATACGGTTACCACTACATACGAATAGGAATACGTTACGTATTACGAATACGAATACGGTATACAATACGAATTAGTTACGAATACTACTCGACATACGAATATGGCATCCGCGAATATAATGTGAAATAATAGACAGTATATCAGTATACTGAGTTGCCATTTACACACATATACGATGATATATACGATACAACATTATGTAAGAACTACCAGATATCCTACTACATATACATATACAATCCAGTGATATGCAGCATGTAGGATAGGTATACATTACGAATCGTTACGCACCACACATACTGGACATACGATTACCATAAGGAATATATGTTACATAGATTATTACATTAAACCTACGCTATGAATTGCAGATGTATTGCAAAGTGAAATATAGATTATATTATACGATATAATATATACCACACACATGATATGCCAGCGGACGAGACAACACAGATAATGAGACGATGTTATGTTATGAAGACGACGTTTTACGTGCATATCTCAACTCGCATTATTTGATCACGTTAACAATGAAACCTTGGCAATATTCCACACATATACATGAGATAGACTACAACATTATGTAAGAACTGACACGATGCTATTCGGAAGGGTTCACGTCACCTATGGCAAAGAAAGTATCCTCTTTCGCACGGACTCACAGTGGTAAACAACCGTAGGACTTGACACAAGAGCGGCACTACAACAGGTGGCCATCACACATTCATGCATGCAAACATCGTATGGGTATGATGATGCCAATAGAACACTATCGTCTATGCTTACTATGCTATTGATGGCCTCTAGCGTGTCCTATAGTATACACGGATTTGAAGTATGACGGTCATCATCGCAAACCGTGTGGGGGAGTTCAACAGGATCAAAGCGAGAGTAGGAAAGATGGCTACGAACGAAGCGCGATGTCACGATGTCCAGGTTAGACTCGACGGACCTTAATTCCGGGCAGTTCTGTTGCGCTTACACTAAGAGTTATTAGGTACTGCAGCGTTGTGAAATTTTGCTCGACCGCGCGCGCAGTCTAACTAGAGAGGATTGTCTGCCGAAATGCCTCGAGAGAGGGCCTCGTGTGCGCGATCTTGGGCGGCGGATTATGTACCAGAATAACTCAGGGGCGTTAATTAAATAAAGTTTCGAGTCGTTTTGTAGTAGAAGAAAGAACGTATCCGCGCGAATAAAAAAAAACGACCAATTGACGGACCATCGAATTGTGATGTCTCGCACTGACGTGCAAAAGCTCCAGAAAATTTCGGCCAATGGCCAGAACTGCCTCAATTCACCGATTACTGGGCTCTACCCTACTACCACAGTGATTTGAGATATATAGTTATACATATTGGGCAGCGATTTGACCCTAATGGCGCATGAGATGGCGCTGTTCGCGCTTCACTGCGGATCACGGCGTGCTGCAGACTGCTCAAGAGCAATTTATTAACAGGTATATATAGGTAATTTTGTTTTGGTGCGACATCTGTTTTTTTGCAAACGTTGCAGTGTGCAATATATGGATAAATAATGCAGAGATATCTTGCTGCCCCTTTGTGTGTGTAAGCCAATCATGCTCCTGATAGTATGCATGTCAGCTGCACTTCGTCTGCGACCATGACTGTAGTGCGCGCTGGGTGTTACCGGAATAACAATCTCGCATTCTATAGAAGCATCAGAAAACCCCCCACTCTCACACCACTGCAGAGTCCACGAACCTGTATAAATGTAACAATGTATGAGTATGAAACTCAAGCACTGCTTTACATAGCAGTTATGCCGGCAGCACAGTGTGTGATTTTACTCAAGTAAAAATAACTCACGTGCGCAACGCTATGTAGAAAATAAGAAGGTATCAGTAGATTAGTAGAAATTTCATCGACTGGTAATAACTATTTGTGGCACAAATAGCCCTAAGTAAGAACGTCCCTAGCATATGGAAAAGATATGGAAACAGTATATAGTTTTTAATATACCTGAAACACTGCCAAAACATTATACGAAAGAAGTTTCTGACAAGGCACTATGCACTCTTGAACGTTTCAATTTCCGATTACGGTTGGCTTTACCTTTACAAAAAAATAAAATTAATTGTTGCTAAAAAATTATTTGCTTGTATTTAAATTGTTAGAATGTAAAATAAATCAATGTAAATATTTGTAGTGAATTGCGAAAAAAATAGTTCAATGGATAAGATAGAAAATACAGAAAACATGATAAATAATAAAAAATCAGATGGGATTCGACATCCAACGACCTTTGAGCCGTGGACGCCTGTGCTGTACGCGTTCGCGCTATCCAGGCTTTAGTTGGCTTTCTAGATTATGGCATGTGCCATGAAATATGACAACACTGTGGACGTCAGTTGAGGCAGTTCAGGAATCCATGTTTAACCCTCCTCTTGAGGCGTCAAAAAGTTATCAGACACTTACTCTTCGCACGTCAGCTGGAAGCACATTCTTCATGCGTCCTTTCAATAAAGGGGATAAAATGGTAGGTCAGCGCTGAAACAAAAGAAGTTTTTCACTGTCCATTTAAGGCCATGTTCCTTTAGAAAATGATCGATAATCTAACCTTTCCCCCACTGCCCTTTGACCTGTGACCTCCAATTTAGCACTGGTGATGGGTTTCCTGCCTAGCACACGTACTATACACCGAATATTAAGAGCATAGGTCGAGCCGTTCAGATTTGTGCCGCAATTCCGTATTTCCTCCTATACCTTAAGTTAAGGGGGAAATATTCCCCCTCCGTTTGCACATCTTGACCTTTGACTCTTGACCACAAAATTTGTCATCCCGAGTCCTTTTCACGATCTCCCCACGTCCCGAATATCGTGACCGTACGTCGAGCGGTTAAGATTTGTGCCCAACTGTTGACGGACGGACGCACGCACGCACGCACGCGCTCATGCGATTCTACAAGCTGCATCTGACGAAGTCAGATGAGCTAAAAATCCAATCATTATTTTATATACCGGCTGTGTGTACATAGTTCACAGATATTATACGAAGAAAAAATGTACATAAATTCTCAGAAGCAAATACATATAGCAGTTCTGCGAAACACTTGGCAAATTATTTTTGCAACTTGCAGTCTACATTGGTTTTGCTTGCAAAGTTATGTACCTTAAAATACTAAATGTCAAGTTAATTGCTTTTAACTGCCCAGCCACATACAACTTGACACTCGCACGTGCATGCATGCACGTACACGTGTGCATGCGCGCACTCCATTTACATGTCTAAAGCTGGCCAGCTCAATCTTTATATCTTAATCCCACAGTTATCCCAGAGTTGTCCTACTTTGAATTTTACATATTTAATCATACTTAATTGATAATTGTTGATTTCATAAAAGAACGACATTCATATAAAAGCTGTGTATTTTCTTCTCAAGTAAGTTCTTTTTATCGTACATTTTATCTTTTACGTTATTAACTTGGTTTATTGTCTAGCGAGAAAAAATTGTGTGTTAATACTGCAAAGTTAATTCTAATGTTTTAAAATTATTTATTTACCTGCTTTGATTAATTATGCGTAATTGATAATTAATTAATTATCATTTAATTACATTAATTAATTAATTGCGTAATTTGAGTAATTAATTGCTTTGATTAATTATGCATCACGAAATAATTTTATATTGTTTATTCTTTTCATTTACCACTCGCCTATCTACTAGACTTTGTTTTTTTGCACAATTTATGTACTTTTCATCCAGCATAAATATGCACGGAGGCCAATATCACATCTCCGGTTAGGTAGGAGAATTTTAGCTCTGCATTTACGAGTGACGTTCTGGTCTACGATGCTTTTGCTGACACGCTATATAGTATATGTCGTCACCATTATGTCGTGTGGTTGAGAGAACACTAGCAACTTCTTTAACTGCTAAACATCCTAGCAGATACTTATGCTCTCTATGTAGAAATTAAAGTACAAAGTGAAACTTTTTTTTTTACAAATCAGGAGGAATTTATTAACAGGTATAGGTAATTTTATTTATGGAATCTGTTTTGTGCAAACGTTGCAGTGTGCAATATATGGATAAATAATGCAGAGATATCTGCTGCCCTCTGTAGTGTACGTGTAGCCAATCATGCTCCTGATAGTATCATGTCAGCTGCCTTCTCTGCGACCATGACTGTAGTGGCCTGGGTGTTACCGGATACAATCTCCGGCATTATAGAAGCATCAACCACTCTCACACCACTGAGTCCACGAACCCTGTATAAATGTAACAATGTATGAGTTGAAATCAAGCATGCTTTAACAATAGCAGTTATGCCCGGCGCACACGTGTGTTATTTTACTCAAGTAAAATAACTCACGTGCGCACCGGGCATTAGAACATAAAGAAGTTCAGTAGATAGTAGAAATTTATCGACTGGAATAACTATTTGTGGCACCAATAGCTAAGTAAAGAACGTCCCTAGATATGGAAAGATATGGAAACAGTTATAGTTTTTTAATATACCTGAAACACTCCAAACATTATACGAAAGAAGTTCTGACAGGCATATGACTCTTGAACGTTCAATTTGATTACGGTTGGCTGTATTTACAAAAAAATAATAATTAATTGTTGTAAAAATTATTTGTTGTTATTAAATTGTTGTAAATAAATCATGTAAATATTTGTGCTAATTGGAAAAAAATAGTTAAATGGATAAAGATAGAAAAATACAGAAAACAGGTAAATAATAAAAAATCTGCTGGGATTCGATCCAAGAACCTTTGAGCTGTGACGCCTGTGCTGTAACCGTTTGGCTATCCAAGCTAATAATGGGTTTCTAGATTATGGATGTGCCATGAATATGAGAACACTGTGACATCATTGAGGCAGTTCAGTAATCCTTGTTTAACCCTCCTCTTGGTGGT